GGCAGGGGTCTGCGTGGGGCGGGAGCAACACCAGAGGGGAGGTGGGCTCCATCACGCCTGCCGCCTTGTGCGGGTGCGCGGCAGGAAGTGGGTCATGGCTGCTCCCCACTGACCAGTAAGGGGCTGGTGGCCCTGGCACGGCCACACGGGGCAGCCAGACGGTGTCCTCGTCCCCTGGGCTTTGTGCGGCCATGAAGGGTGCTCACCCCACCGGGCCACCTTTCCTTTCTCACCGGGGCCGTGGACCCGGCCATCTGGTGTCTGGCGTCCCACTGAGCCAGATGGCGGGGTTGTTTCTCCCAGTGTGTTGGCTGGGGTGAGGCTGCAGCTCACTTGGCATCTCCTGGCCTTTGGCGGCCGGCCCTTGGCTGTCCAGGGTCATTGGACTGCAGAGGCTTGTGCAGCTGGGCGAGGGGACAGAGGGTTCTAGGTTGGTGCCAGGGCCCTCCCGTGGCTGCTGCTGTGTGCGCGTCGGGACCCCAGTGGTGGGCAGAGTGTGGGCTCTCAGCCTGGCACCGGCCCTGGCTTCTGGACTGGACTCTGTGGTCAGAGCTGGAGTGCGGAGGTGGGCACCCTGTGCAGTGGGGGCAGGGAGGCCCTGGGCTCCTGGGGGCTGCACATTCTGACGATGGACATCTTCCGTCCCCGCTCTGGGAGGCAGGCCTGGCCTCGGGTCTCCACTGTCAAAAGTCGTGGCCTCAGCTTGGTCCTAACAGACCTGGGCTGTGCGACTGCTCGTCCTGCCTGGCTCTGTTGCCTGATGTGCAGACCTGCACTCCCCAAGCCCTGGTGGGGTGAAGGGGTTCGGCTGGACCCCTGTGGTGCTGGTCCTGTCCTGGGCCGGCCCTGCCTGGCGTAGCCTTGCCCGGAGACAGCTGCCTCTCTGTTAAACCAGTGAGACTCAGGCCTCTCTGTCCCCGACCACGTTTTCTGTGGTCGTGTGAACAATTGAGGATTAGGCAGAGGAGACAGACGCGGCAGGCCGCAGTGGACGCACTGGGGGCACTGGCCAGTGGCGTCCACCCCCAAGCCCGAGTGCCCACGCCTGGCCTGATGTCGCCCCTCCGAGGGCCTGGGCTCGAGCTCTGGCTGAGGCTGTCCCAGCCCAGGCTCGGGTGGGCGAGCTCCGTGCCGGCTGGACACGGCCCTAGACGCCTGCGTCCTGAGCCCCCCCCTTTCTCTCCAAAGGTGGTTTTATTTATTTGAAGGGCCGAGCGCGTCCATCCGCTGGCTCACTGCCGGGTCTGGAAAGGCCAGAGCCGGGAGCTCCGTGTGGGTCTCCCGTGTGGGTGGCAGAGGTCCGAGCACTTGGGCCACCCTTGCTGCCTACCAGGCGCATAGCTGGAAGCTGGGCTCCAAGTGGAGCTGCCAGGGTGCCAGCATCGCCCGGTGCCTTCCGCCACGCGACAGTGCCAGCGCTGCCGCAGTGGGGGTGCGTGGCCTGGCCGAGGGAGGTCTCAGACGGACCACTCACAGGTACCGCGGAGACAGGAGTCCTCAGTGTGTTTGCAAAACCCAAGTAACAGATGGCTGTCCCCAACCCTCTGGGATGGCCACAGCCTTGTCACGGGGACACCGGCTGGGGGGGGCAGCCCGTTCCCCTGAGGTCCTTGGGGGCTGTGGACACTGCCAGCCTGTCCACTGTGGGGGCCCCGGGATCCTGACCCGCCGTCCCTGCCCGGCACCTCCACGCCTGTGGACGCGTCCGTCGCGTGTGCAGTTGCTGTTCTCGCGAGAGAGCAATACGTCCACTCAACACGTCCACTCCAAACGCTTGCGACAGCCTGGGTCGGGCCCAGCCCCGGCCTCCCCCACAAGCAGAGCCGTCAGCACTGCCCCAGGGTCCGCGTTAGCAGGAAGCTGGGGTCCCGGCCCTCCGGGTGTGGGCTCCGGGACCGGTGATGGACTGGCGGCCGGGCGGCTGCGCCCACTGGGCTGGGTTTGAAGTTTGACTTTATTGAAGGACTTGGGCCTCAGGGGGCGCCGGGGCGTCCAGCAGTGCTGGGAACAGTGAGCAGGGGTCAGGGCTCCACAGAGGCAGCCTCCGGGCTGAGACGGGCAGGCTTGGGCCTTCCTGTCTTCACTGTGGTCCAGGCCTGTGGCACGGCCCCTCCCAGAGCTGCCCAGGTGCTGCGACGGCGAGGCCCGCGCCCCCTGGGCAGCGGTGGGGGGGCACCACGGCGGCGGTGGCAGACGCGTCCGTTGCAGCTCCTTAGCCCCAGACTCAGCTACACCCAGAACGGCATCTTGCACATGCTGGACAGAAACAAGCGGATCAAGCCCCGGCCGGAGAGGTTCCAGAACTGCAGAGACCTGTTTGACCTGATCCTCACCTGCGAGGAGCGCGTCTACGACCAGGTGGTGGAGGGTACGGACCGGGCCTGCCTCGCCTGCGGGCCGCGAGCTGGGCCCACGTGGTCCTCACGCCGGTGTGCGGGGGGGGGGGGGGGGGGGCACAGGGCGCAGCTTGCTCCGGGCTCCTCCTCTGCTGCTCGCTGCCTGTGCCCCAGCCACGGGGCTGACCTCTGACCTCTGACCCTGTCCCTGTCCCCGTCAGACCTGAATTCCCGGGAGCAGGAGACCTGCCAGCCGGTGCACGTGGTCAACGTGGACATCCAGGACAACCACGAGGAGGCCACCCTGGGGGCCTTCCTCATCTGCGAGCTCTGCCAGTGTGTGAGTGCCGGCGGGGCGGGCGGGGCTCCCACCCGAGGGGCAGCGCAGGCGCACGCGCAGGCCCCCACGAGTGGGACGCGGTGTGGAGCCGTGACGGCGCCCCCGGGGCTCCTCCCACAGGAAGGGCCCTGCTGCGAGGCTTCCTTCCCCTCCCAGCAGGCGACTGTGCCGGCCCCCGGGGGAGGCCAGGTCGTGGGTGGCTCACGCTGACCGGAGCCGGCCGAGGCCCGGGCCGGGGCAGGTGCTTGGGGCACCCGGCGGTGTCTGGGCAGCTCCGTGGTCCCGGGACCGGGCGCTGTCCGTGTCCGGGGTGCAGACAGGTTCCGCGCTCTGGCCCCTGCACCCTGTGGGCTTCCCACCGAGAACCGAGGCTGAGCCCTCGCCAGGGACTCGGGGCCGCTGCCCTCTCTCCCCACGTGCTCAGAGGGCACGCGATGTCCTGGGAGGGGCCCCTCCCCGTCCACACCAGGCTCCGCCCGGGGGGGGCCTCGCCCAGGACTGGCGGTCAGCAGCAGCCGGCCTCCCTGCAGATCCAGCACACGGAGGACATGGAGAACGAGATCGAGGAGCTGCTGCAGGAGTTCGAGGAGAAGAGCGGCCGGGCCTTCCTGCACACCGTGTGCTTCTACTGAGCGGCCGCGCCCCCTGCTGGCCGGGCCTTCCTGCGCACCGCGTGCTGCTCCCGAGCGGCCGCGCCCCCTGCTGGCCGGGCCTTCCTGCGCACCGCGTGCTGCTCCCGAGCGGCCGCGCCCCCTGCTGGCGGCTTCCCTCCCGACGCCTGCTTGTACCCAAATAAACTACCCGAAACCGAGCAGGTGCATGGAGTGCTGTGCGGTCACGTCCCCGCGCGTGTGCGAGTGCTGTGCGGGTCACGGTCCACGCGCGTGTGCCCGTGCGGTCACGGTCCACGCGCGTGTGCGAGTGCTGTGCGGGTCACGGTCCAGCTGTGCGGGTCACGGTCCCCACATGCGTGAGTGCTGTGCGGTCACGGTCCCCACACGTGTGAGTGCTGTGCGGGTCACGGTCCACGCGCGTGTGCGAGTGCTGTGCGGGTCACGGTCCAGCTGTGCGGGTCACGGTCCCCACATGCGTGAGTGCTGTGCGGTCACGGTCCCCACACGTGTGAGTGCTGTGCGGGTCACGGTCCACGCGTGTGTGCGAGTGCTGTGCGGGTCACGGTCCCCACATGCGTGAGTGCTGTGCGGGTCACGGTCCCCACACGTGTGAGTGCTGTGCGGGTCACGGTCCCCACATGTGTGCCCGTGCATGTGAGTGCTGTGCGGTCACGTCCCCGCGCGTGTGCGAGTGCTGTGCGGGTCATGGGTCCCCACATGTGTGCCCATGCATGTGAGTGCTGTGCGGTCACGTCCCCGCGCGTGTGCGAGTGCTGTGCGGGTCATGGGTCCCCACACGTGTGCCCGTGCGTGTGAGTACTGTGCGGGTCACGGCGCGTCCCCACACGTGTGCATGTGTGAGTGCTGTGCGGGTCACGGCGCGTCCCCACGTGTGCCGCTGCCCTGGCATCCCTGGCCCTGCCCACCCTCAGGAAGGAGCCCCCCCCCCCCCCCAGGCCGCAGGCAGGGGTGGGCCTCCAGCCTCGGACTGCCCTGGGGGAGGGGTCTTGGCCCGGCCACAGCCTGCAGCCCGGAGCAGGTCCCACCGCGGGAACAGGCGGACGGAGCCCTGGCGTCGGAGCTGGCCCCTCGGGCTTCCTCGGGTCCTACTGAGCAGGGTGGGGTCTGGGGGTTCCCGTGACGTCAGCGGTGGTGCACGTGGGGCGCGGAGTGGGGGCCTGGCTTTGGCGCCCAGCCCCCAGCGTGGGGCAGCCAGACTCCTGGACTCAGAGCCCACCTGCCTGGGGCTGACCCAGCCTGGCAGTGACCAGTGACCTGGCGGCCGCTGCCCCCGCCCCCTCCACGGCTGCGGCCCTCCCGCCTCTGGCCCTGTGACCTTGCGGGCCCCTCCGTCCCGTCCCACAGCCGGCGCGAGCTGTCCGGCCCGCCCCGCACCCCTCACCTGGCGCCCTGGGGGACCGAGCGGGGCAGGACGGACTGCCGGACCCGGACCGAGGCGGTTCCAGGGGCGCGGGGCACAGGTGACGGCGGCCGGGCCCGAGCGGATGGGGGCGGGACGAGGCTCCCAGGGTCCCGGGGCGGGGTCCCTGCCGCCGCGGTGCGGGGAGGACCTGGGAGCTGCCGCCCGGTCCCCTCGCCGAGCTGGCGCAGGTCCCTCCCGGGAGGCGGAGGCCGGCGGCGCGGAGGGCGGAGGGACGCGCGGAGGAGGCGGGAGGAGGGCGCCGCGCCGCGCCGCGCGCAGGGCGGACCGGAGGGCGGAGCGCAGCGCGCGGGCCGGCCCGGGCCCAGCGACCCCGCAGCGGCCCCTGGCTCCTCTGGGCGCCCCCGCCCGCGTCCCTTCCTCGGCCGAAGGGGTTGCCGCGGCTCGGCGGCGCTTCCCGGGAGGCGCTGACCTCTGCGGAGGCGGCGGGGGCTCAGCATCGGGCCGGGGCCGGGGGGGCGCCGGGGCCGGGGGGCGGCGCTCCGGCCCGGCCCGGCCCCGCCCGATGCCCATGAGCGCGAACACCATGATCTTCATGATTCTGGGGGCGTCGATCGTGATGGTGAGCCGGGGGGGGGGGGGGCTTCCCGCACGCCCCTTGCGCCGCCGCTTGCGCGCGCCGCCCCCCCACACGCCCGCGCCTTGTTTACCGGCGCGCGGCCTGCGCTCCCCTGCTCGCCTGCCCCGCGCCCCCTCCCCAGCCTGGGCGCCCCTCCGCACCCCCGCCCCCACCTCCGCCCGGGCCGCTTCTCCCGCTGACCCGTCATGGGCTCTTCCAGGCCATCGCTTGCTTGATGGACATGAACGCGCTGCTGGACCGGTTCCACAACTACATCCTCCCGCACCTGCGGGGCGAAGACCGCGTCTGTCACTGCAACTGCGGCCGGTGAGTCCGCGAGGCCGGGCAGACACGCGTGAGCGCACGTGCGGCGGGGCCCCTCGGAGCGGGAGTCCCACGCAGGCTGGGCCAGAGACGCGCAAGACCCGAAGGGCCCCCCTCCCCGGCCAGCCGGGCGCGCGGGGGGAGGGGAGTCGGACCTGAACCCCAGGGAGCCCGCCGCTGGGGATGCACAGGTGAGCGCGCTAGGACCCCCGCCCCCGCCCCCGCCTCAGGGGCCCCGGCAGCCGGAGGGTGGCCCAGCGGGTCCTGGGGCCTCCTGGCCGGCGGCCTGAGCAGCAGGCTGGTCTTTGTCCACCCCGTGGAGGGCCGGCCCTGCCTCCCGGGCGCAGGCCTTGGGCGGGGAGGCTGTGCTACCCAGCGCCGACCCGGGGCGAGCAGGCAGGTGCACAGGGTCAGGTGGGCAGGGCCCCCCGGGGGTCCTGGGCGTCCGCTGGCTGTGGAGAGGGGAGCGAGGCAGGGGCTGGGCTGGGCTTGCTCAAGGTCACTCGGAGCCGGGCAGAGCCCAGGCCTGCGGCACCTGTGGGTGTGTGACGTCCTGTGCACGCGGCGTGGTGGCGCCGTCCTGACCGTGCATGTCTGTACGTCAGTGTATGAAATAAACATGTTCTCATGAGACGCGCATGTGTGTACATCTGTGCATATTCACGTGTGCGCACACGCAGGCTCGCATGCTCCTCCCGCGGGACCCCCGGCGTCCTGCTGGACACACACGTGGAGGTGCTGGCGGCAGCTGCCCGCAGACGCGCCCAAGGTCGCCCACGCCGCCGCCCTCACCCCTGCCGAGTCTGCGCCCGTGGGTGTCCAGGGCGGGGGTGAGGGCAGCCACGTGTCTCCCAGAGCGTGTTCCGTGGCTGTGGGCTTGGACACGTGTGCATTAGAGCGGCTGGGGGTGTGAACACGCCCTTCCCTCGTACCGGGCGTGGAGGGGCAGAGGTTGCTGGGGGCCAAGGAGGGGCACAAAGGGAGCTCCACCCCCGGGTCCTGAGACCCTCCCGAGGCGGGGACACGCATGTCACGTGCCGTGGCAGCACGCAGGGCTGGGCGCTGCAGTTTGCACACGGACGCACCACACATGGAGCGTTTCTGCACGTGCGCATCTACACGTACATGCTCTGTACACATCTACATACAAGGCACTTTGTGTGTTGACATGTGTGTCCACAGGTACATGTGTGATACAGCACACGGCAGTGTCTCCACGTGCGTGTGTGAGCATGTGTGCAGGTTCCGCGCTGCCACATGAGGGGTCCGTGTGTGACCCGTGGACACACTGCCGCAGTGGCTTCTACCATGTGTGCATGTGTGTGCAGAACCTGTGCACACATGCGAATGCCTTGGCCATGCCTGTGCGTGGACTGTACATGGAATACATGTGTGCAGGTGAATGTTCCAGATCACGCATGTCGGCCAGCAGCATCCGTGTGCGCACCTCAGTGTTCCACCGAGGATGCGTGTGCCGAGCCACGTGCATGCGTGCGCCCCACTCCTGCTGGCTGTGCAGCTTACAGGGCCGCGGCCACTGTATACTCGCCGTGTCCTGTGCATGTGGCCGGCGTGCATACATGACGTGCCCACATGGAGCATGTGTGTCGCAGGCAGGACGCGTGGATGTACACGTCAGACATGCGTGTGCAGTTAGCACATCTTGTTCTGCTTCATCTGGGAGACTATCCCCCCCCCCCCGTACCCACCCTGGGGCGGGGGGGGCTGGTCATGACCTTTGACCCCTGGAGATCCCGAGCCCCAGGGGTCTGGGGCCCTGCCCGGCTGTCCCTACAGGGCAGAGGGGGCCGTTCCCTCATGCCCCACCCTGGCCCGCCCAGTGGCTGGGAGGTGCCGGTGTCAGCTCCTGCCGCTGCTCACCGCGGGGCCGTTTCCTGTCCCCAACGGCTGCATCTGTGGCCCGAGCCCAACTCCAAGGAGGGCACCAGGGTGTGGCCGCAGGGGGCAGCGAGAGGCCGGGTCCTTCAGGGAGGGTCCCCAGGGGGAGGTGTGGAACCTGGGACGGGGGGGGGGGTGCCGCGGCTCCTGGGGGAGGCGGGAGCTGCAGCCTTGCAGAGCGCTGCAGAGCCCCGTGGAGCCACACCTGCAACTGTGCTGGGCGTGGGCGTGTGGGGCGTGGGCACAGGAGAGGCAGCCACGGGCGGGCACAGCCTGATGCCGCTGGCCGGAGAGCACGCGGCAGGGAGGGCGGCTCCCTGTCCGGTTGTCCAGGCTGCCATTGCCCTCTGCAGGGCCCCCTCACCTGGGGTCAGAGGGCCAAGGGGGCCTCTGGAGGAGGAAGCCTGCCCAACCTCGGAGGGAGCCGTCGGGGAGGGGATGAGGGCTGGACGCTTTCGAGGCCTGAGCCTGGGCCCAGGTCCAGAAGACGGGCCGTGGTGGGCGGCGGGACATGTAGCGGGGAGGGGCTGCACGGCTGGGTGCTGTCCATTCCAGGGCCAGTTGAGTGGGCAGCAGGCACGTTGCCTGGCAGAGCAGGGAGAGGCCGGGAACAGGGGAAGCCAGGGGTGAGGCGGGGGCCCGAAGCCCAGGGCAAGGCTGACCACGGGCGGCGGCCCCTGGGGCGGGGCCAAGGGGCCTGGGGAGCCGCTGGTGTCTGGGCTTGGCGACCGGGCCAGCGTGCTGGGGCCCTGCAGCGGCTCCTGCGAGCTGGCCCGGCTGCTCAGGCCACTGCTGCCCTCCTGGGGGTCCGAGTCCCCTCTCAGCGCCTCCAGCGAGGGCCCGGGGCCGGCAGGACAGGTGCCAGCCCGCCCTGCCGCCCGCAGGCACCACGTCCACTACGTGATCCCGTACGACGGGGACCAGTCGGTGGTGGACGCCGCGGAGAACTACTTTGTGACGGACAGTGTGACCAAGCAGGAGATCGACCTCATGCTGGGGCTGCTGCTGGGCTTCTGCATCAGCTGGTTCCTGGTGTGGGTGGACGGCGTGCTGCACTGCGCGGTGCGCGCCTGGAGGGCCGGCCGGCGCTACGGTGAGTGCCCGCGCCACCGCGCCACCGCGCCACCGCGCCGGCACGCCCGCGGCGCGCGCCGGCCGCCTCACCCGCCCTGTCCCCCTGCAGATGGCTCGTGGACCTGGCTGCCCAAGCTGTGCAGCCTGCGGGAGCTGGGGCGGCGGCCGCACAGGCCCTTCGAGGAGGCGGCCGGGAACATGGTGCACGTGAAGCAGAAACTCTACCACAACGGCCACCCCAGCCCGCGGCACCTGTGAGCCGCGCACAGGACTCGCCGGGGCCCCAGGGCCGCCGGCCACCGAGACGTCAAAGGGACCTCGTGGGCGCCCGGGCCGGTGGGACTGGACGGCAGCCTTGGGCCCGGGGCGCCTGGGGCCGTGCCCGGCGTAGCCGCCCACCAGGCAAGTCCAGCGGAAGGTGCTGTCTCTCCTTTTTATACAGGGGGTAGGGGCGGGGACCGGGGTGGGGGAGGCTGCCGGGCCTCAGGGGGGCAGGGCCCCAGCCGGGCAGGGCACAGCGGCCTCACCGGCCTGCGGCCACGTCCAGCTGAAAGCCGCTGTGTGTGTTTCCTGTGAGCTGTGTCCATCTGTCCATCCGTGTCGTCTGGAGGGGAGGGAGGCGCTGAGGGCCAGCGCCCGGCACACGGGAGCATGTGCGTGCGGCGTGCGCGACCGCGAGGCGGGGGCGGAGGTCGGGGTCCTCGGCCACGGCGCCCCCCTGTGATGCCCACCCCGCCTGGTCAGTAAACTCTCCAGAAAGCTCCAGCCTCTGCCTCGTCCGTCACCCCTGACCCTAGAGCCACAGTGCAGCCGGACAAACACGACCAGCCAGCGCTCAGCTCAGACGGCTTTATTCAGTTCTGATAGAAAGACCCCAGCTCCACCCTGGGGGAGCAGCAGGCCCCGGCACAGCCGCCAGGCCCCTCATGCCGGGGAAGGGCCCAGGCCACCCGCTGGTGTCCCGGTGGGTCCTGCCCCCGGCCTAGCCCACAGCAGACCCCGATCCTGTGGCCCCCTGGGGGTTTAGCTAGCACCTGCTGTGCCTGGGGGGCCCAGGTGGGTGGGGCCTGGGGACGCCTCTCCCCAGGGGCAGGAAGGAGGCCCCCGGAAGGAAAGGGCGGCTGCTGCAAAGGCTGGGGTCCGAGCCCCGCCCAGCCCCGTGGGCTCAGGGGTTGGGGTGGGGGCTGCCCCCCGGCAGCGACCCCTCGGCCTTCAGCCACTCTGTCTTCTGCTGGTGCTGCCGGATGGCGTCCTGCACGCGGGCGTCCACCATGGCCTCGGTGAGGACCCCGTCCTCAGAGGCGTACGCCATGGCCTGGCAGGGAAGAGGACACAGCTCTGCTTCGGGCAGGGCCCCGGACCCGCTCCCACCGCCTGGTTCTCAGTGACTAAAACCAGGAACCTGGCCGAGCACCCCCACTGCAGACCTGCAGGGGCACAGGACCTGGGACGCTGCGGGGGATGGGGCCTTCCCCTCCGACGGCTGAGCAGAGACCCTCACCCCACATCCCGGGGCTGCAGGGTGCTGCAGAGGCCTCCCACGGCACCACCGGGCAGGCCACGGCCATGTGGGCGCAGGCAGAGAGGCTGCTGAAAGCCGTCCACCCACAGCCGTGTAACGAGTCCCAGGCGCAGCGTTAGCGGAGCTCCAGAAACCTGCCCCAGGAGGGAACTCAGCACCCCAGAGCAGCCACAGGCCGCGCGCCCTCTCGGCTGCCTGGGCCTGGCCACTCCCCTGCAATCCAGCTCCCTGTCAAGGTGCCTGGCAGGCAGCAGGTGACGGCCCCAGTGCTGGGGACACTGCACTGTGAAGAGACCCAGGTGGAATTGCTAGCTTCTGCCTGGCCCAGCCCGGCTCTTACAGGCATTTGGGGAAGAGAATCGGAGGGAAGACCTCCCTCCCTCCCTGCCTTTGGTGCTTTTAAAAATTCCAGTGCCAGTTCTTCCCAGAACTAGAAAATCTCGCCCTAAAATTCCCATGGGGTCTCAAGGGCTCCTGACTAGCCAGAGGCCCGCCCGCAGCGCCGGCACCCCGTGGGCACCACTTCCAGCCCCAGCTGCTCCACTGCCTGTCCAGCTCCCTGCCAATGGCCAGGGAAAGCAGAAGACGGCCAGCGGGAGGCCCGGAAGAGGCTCCTGGCTCCTGATCGGCTCAGCTCCAGCCACTGCAGCCATCTGGGGAGTGAACCAGCGACGGAAGCTCCCCCACAAAACTGCCTTTCTAATGACTAAAGAAATGTTTTTGAAAAATTTTTTAAATTAAAAAAAAAAATTGACAAGCAGCCTCCCACGACCGGCACCCCCAGAGGCACCGGCTGGAGGCTCAGCTGCTCCGCTTCCGACCCGGCTCCTGTTACGGAGGGCAGAGGGGCTGAGTCCCTGGGCCTCCGCCCACCACGTGGGAGACCCAGCGGGAGCGCCTGGCTCCAGCCTGGCCCGGCGCTGGCCACTGTGGCCACCTGGGGAGCGAACCAGCCAATGGAAGAATGGGAGAGCTCTTTCTCTCTGTAACTTTTTTTTTTTTTTTTGGACAGGCAGAGTGGACAGTGAGAGAGAGAGAGAGAAAGGTCTTCCTTTGCCATTGGTTCACCCTCCAATGGCCACCATGGCCGGCGCGCTGCAGCCGGCACACCGCACTGATCCGAAGGCAGGAGCCAGGTGCTTGTCCTGGTCTCCCATGGGGTGCAGGGCCCAAGCACTTGGGCCATCCTCCACTGCACTCCCTGGCCACAGCAGAGGGCTGGCCTGGAAGAGGGGCAACCGGGACAGAATCCGGCGCCCCGACCGGGACTAGAACCTGGTGTGCCGGCGCCGCAGGCGGAGGATTAGCCTAGTGAGCTGCGGCGCCTGCCTGTAACTCTTTTTTTAAAAAAAAGATTTATTTATTTATTTGAAAGTCAGTTAGAGAGAAGGAAAAGGAGAAGGAGAGAAGGAGAGAGGGAGAGAGGGAGAGAGAGACAGTCTTCCATCTGCTGGTTCACTCCCCCAAATGGTGACAATGGTCAGAGCTGTGCTGATCCAAAGCCAGGAGCCAGGAGCCTCATTCGGGTCTCCCACGTGGGTGCAGGGCCCAAGCACTCGGGCCATCTTCCACTGCCTTCCTAGGCCACAGGAGAGAGCCAGATCAGAAGTGGAGCAGCCGGGACTCGAACCGGTGCACATACGGGATGTCGGCACTCAGGCGGCAGCTGTACCTGCTGTGCTACAGTGCCAGCCCGCTGACTTCCAGTGAATAAATAAGTGACTGCAAGCGGGGCCAGTGTGGAGGCGCGGGCTGGGCCCAGCCCTGGACGCCCACATTCCGTGTCCTCCAGACCTGACCCAGCGCCCGGGGGAGCAGGGCCCCTGCACCCGCGTGAGACCCAGCTGGAGCTCCCGGCTCCTGGCGCAGCCTGGCCCAGGCCCAGCTCTTGGTGCCACTGAGAATGAACCAGTGAAGAGAGCGCCACCTCTCGACCAAAATGAAAATGCAATCACACTCCAAGAGACCAATGATCAGGAAGTGCCAAAGCCACACCCCAGGATGAGAGGCTGGGGCCTGTGCACCGCGGGTGGGGGGGGGGCAAGGGGGCGAGAGTTAAACAGAGACCAGCGTGTGGTCCGGCCCCTGCTGTGGCCAGGGCTCAGGACAGACGCCTGCACGCGTCCCCAGCAGCCGGTGGAGCCCGCCCCAGCCCAGGCCCACAGTAGGACCCTGGCAGCCTGAACAGGAAGGAGACCCCGACACCTGCCCCCACTCCGTGCTCAGGGACAGTGCACACCCTCCGCCCCGCCACGGAGGTGAGCGACAGACCTCACACCAATGTGGCTGCCCTGGCCAGCACCAACACACCCAGGAGCAGCCACTCCGCTCAAGCCAAGGAGGCACTGTCCTGCCCAACCAGGTGGGAAGCGAGGTGCCCCTCCCCCAGGACACTGCCGCCCCCACCCCAACCTTGGCGAGGACAGTACGCGACAGCGCCCCAGGCTCTCCCAACTGCCGGCCGGGCACGGGGTGGCGTCACCTGCTCTGGTCCATGGTGCGAGGGGCGCCAAGCCAGGGGGGGCTGTCGTTCCTCACGCTGCCTCCAGAGAGGCCGTGCTTGGAGACCGCGAGGACAGCCAGGCACCGTCTGCACCAGGGCCCAAGAGGACGGCCTCCCCGCCTGGGACTGCCGGGGCCCGGCCTCACGCCCTCCCCTTCCAGTCGGCGGTGGCGACAGCCCTGGACCCCAAGCACCCACTGCGAGCCGGGCTGCTGGGGGGCAGCCGCCGCCCGCCGGCTCTTCTCTCCTGGCACCCAGAGCTTGGGACGGCACCACCCGGGACACTGGCTCCTCGGCCCGGGCAGCTGCGGACCTGCTGTTGGAACCTTCCTGGGGCGACAGAGAGGGCCATGCGTGCCTGGCCCCCGGCCTGGTCTGGGAAGTGGGGACGCCGTGAGGACGCACAGGGCGGCAGGCCGGCAGGAGGCACCGACAGCACGGGCCCGCTGCGGCCTGGCTCTGACATCATGGGAAGCCACCTCGCGCCTCTGCCCGCGGCTGGGGAGCCGTGTTGGGCCTCATCTGATCTGTGTGAAGCCACCAGCCCCCCTCGCCGTCCTCAGCACGGGGCCCCTGGACCAGGGGCGGATGACTGAGGGCCTGACCCCATGGCACCCGTGGGCCACGTCCCCCACTCACCTGCCAGGCCACAGCCAGCTGGGCGATCTCTCGGCCCGACATGCCCTCTGTCAGCCGGGCCACCTCGGAACACTTCCTCCCGTAGTCAAACTGGGCCAGCTTCAGCCGCCTGCAGGAGGGGGCCCGGGGGTGCGAGGGCTGAGGCCCACGGGCGAGGCCACAGCCCTACGGCCACGGGCTCCCGCGGGCACAGGAGCAGGAGGGAGGCTGCAAACCTGCCCCACGCTTGCCCAAGTCTGTGCCCGAGACCCCGTGAGCCCAACTCTGCTCCCCTTCCTGCGGGAGCTGGGGTGGCCCTCACGGGAGAGGGCCCAGGTCTTCAGCTGTTGTGGGGGCAGCCTTGCCCTCTGCACACCCAGCACAGCTGCCCGCACACAGGCACACGGGCACAGGCAGGCCAGACCCGAGGACAGCACACAAATGCCTATGGCGTCCGGCTGAAGGACTGAGGAAAATGCAGGGAAAGAGGTCACAGAAATCAGGCCATGGTGCTCGGGCTGCGACAGCCACTGGGAGCAGGAGTCTGCCAGCCAGGGACAGGGACAGGGCGAAGGACAGGCCCAGGTAAGTGGGTTCCAGGGGACCTGAGTTCTTCTAGAACAGAAATGGCGCCGGGGGGGGTTTAGGTCATGTGTGCAAAACCCAGTCCCCTGGAGATGGCCCCCGAGCAGCTTCTGCTCACGGGGGCACCCCAGCCCTCACCACCACGGCAGTCAACTGCCCGGCACAGGGGCCCCGGCTGCAGGCAGCCTGTGCCACAGCCCCTTGGAGCAGCTCTTGGAGCAGCAGGCGCCTGTGTCCTGGGACAGTAGGGGCTGGGCTGCTGGCTCAGCGGTGGACAACAGTGACCAACCCGCCCCCCCCCCCCCCCGGGGCAGCACACAGGTGCAGCCGCTCAGGCCTTGACCAGGGAGGGAAGGGGCCGATGATGCGGCCCTCACAGTCCCCAGGACTCGGGCCCGAGGCCCAGCCTGCCCAGTCCGGCAGGGGGCGGCCGCGGGCCGCGGGCGCGGGCGGACACTCACTGCTTTCCCTCCGTCGCCGGCTGGAGGATGTGCTTGTCAAAGTACATCCGCACCAGGCGCTCCCGCTCCTCCTGCCGCGGCAGCTCGAAGCTGACCAGCTCGTCGATGCGGTCATTGACGGCCCAGTCGAACTGCTCCGGCTGGTTGCTGGCCAGGACCAGCATGAACCTACGGCGGCAGACAGCAGCGGCTGAGCGGCCGCGGACCACCCCCAGGGGCACCTGAACCCAGAAAAACGCTGGAAGACCCACCCCACAGGCCCGACCACTCTTCTGTGCCCCGAACCCTGGGGCACAGAACTTCTGTGCGTCCAAGGCCTGGCCCCCACCCCCACTGCACTTCCTTAACCGACCCCTTGGCACTCGTGGGCTTAACTGGAAAGAGCGCAGAGGGTCCCTGGGGTCTGGAAAGAGCAGGGGCCTGTGGTCCAGGGTGCAGCTGGGCAGAGCCCTCACCCTGGCCTGCACAGGGAGCGGCCACACACCGGCCCTGGCCAGTGCAGGCCTGCAGAGGCCCCGCCAGGGCAGAGCAGCAAGGCCAAGGCCCTGGGGCTGCGCCGCTCAGCAGCCCCCCAGCTCGCGGTCCTCCTCGCGGTCCGACTGCCCAGCCGTGGGGGTGGCCCCCGGCCGTGCTGCACCGAGCGCACCTCAGGCGGGACCGGGGCCCTGCCCAGCGAGGCCGCCCTTACTTGCTGCTGTGCTGGCCCGTCCTGTGCAGGAACGCGTTCAGGGTGGCCCTGAGGTCCTCGCTTATCTTCTCCTGTGGAGAGAATGTTCCGTGTGGGCGGCCAGCAGCAGGTACACCTGGGCACAGGACGGAGCAGCTGGGCGGAGCCACAGGGAGGGGCGGGGCCGCCACCACAGTGTGCGAGCCGGAGCTGGGAGGCTGCAGCCTGACTGCAAGCCGATTTGAACACGCAAGAGCAGCCGACAAAACAGAGCCCACAGCCTTCCACAGGGACGCCCAGCACGGGAGCACGGGAGCCCCCGGCCCTGCCAACAGCCCCGGCCAGACGGGGCCTCCACGGAGTACTCACGGTCGCCCGCTTCCTCAGAAAGGCGTCTGCCTCGTCCACGAAGAGCAGGAGGCTGTGAACCAGAGTGTCCCGGCGAGGGACTGGCTGAGCCGCAGCACCCGGGAGCACCAGGAGCACCAGGAGCACCGGGAGCACCGGGAGCAGGGCCGCGGCTGGGGCAGGCCCCGGGGAGGAGCCACTCCATGCACAGGCTCCGCCTGTTGGGCGGCTCCAACCGTGACCCCCACCCCTCCTGGACTCCACAGTGCGGCCCTGCTCCCAGCCACCCGTGGGAACCGTGGAGGTCTCCTTCCTGGAAGGCCCCACCCAACCCTCCCCAGGCCAGGGCAGGTTGGGGGCTGCTGAAGCCGACACCAGGGCAAGGCTCAGCCAGAACAGAAGGCAAAGGCCAGGGCAGAGGCAGCAAGGCGGGCCGGCCATGCAGGGCATGGGGGCGCCACGGCGTCCGTCCGCCTGTCCCTGGGTGTGCAGCAGCCGCATGCTCACAGCCATGCCGCCGGCTGCACTCCGGCAATGGGCACTCGCCAGGGAGGGCTCAGAACCAGCAGCCGCCCTCCCTCACGGCCAGTCTGGTGGAAGCCCCACCAAACGACCCGCCCCAGCGTGAGTGTGGGGGCGCGGCATCTCACCCTCGCCGGCTGGTGTTGGCCCAGTCGAAGACCTTGTGCATGGCAGTCACGCCTTCCCGCCCCATGGGGGCCACGTCCCCACCCGTCATGATGGCGTAGTCCATGCCGGAGTGCAGGGCCAGTTTCTGGGCAGAGTGGGGAGATGGCAGCTGTGACCCTGCCCGGCGTGCACACGGCCCCAGCTCCCGCCCAGGACAACAGGGGCTGGCCCAGGCCCCCTCCCCAGCCACCCCCCACCCGCACAGCTGAGAGCTCTCACCTTAGCAAACAGTGTCTTGCCAGTCCCTGGCGGCCCATACATCAGAATGTTCCGGTACAGGCTCTTATTCTTCTTGGTGTTCCTCGTTGCTATGGCGATGTCCCGCACCCGTGCCTCCAGGCTGGGCTGTCCAGAGAAGACCACAATGATAGGGGAAGCTCCGCCCCCTGACAGCCTAGGGGAGTGGCACTGCAGAAGCTCCTCCCACACCCTTCCTGGGGCACCCGTGACCCAGTGGCCACTTACGCTGAGCACAACACCTTCCAGGGCATCCTGGGGTCTGCTGAGGAGCCGCCGGCTGACCTGCGGGACAGCAGCATGGGGCTGGCAGCACAGGCCGCGGCATGGCCACTGATCTCGGTGGGGGCTGGGCAGCCACAGCGGCCACACAGTGGCGGGCAGGCCCCCGCCCCGGAGTCACTGGCCGACCTGGCTGCCTGCTGTGGGTCTGGGCCATTTCTGACCAGGGGAGACCAGATGGAGACCCTGTGGCCTACTCCGGCTGCCTAAGGGAGCCGCCCAGCACTGCCTGAGTGCACCCAGGGGCCGGCCAGGTGGGGGTCCCCGCACAGCCGTGACAGGACTGTGGCCAGCAGCGGGTAGAGAACAAACTGACCAAGGTGCAGGCGTGAGCCCCTGGGGGAGGGTGGGGGTCCCAGAGTGCCTCATCACCTGCACAGGGTGCCTCAGGGCCTCCAGCACTGTGATACGAGACGTCTCGCGCACCAGGGACGGCTTCCCCAGCCGGGCCTCCAGGTACCGGCCTGCGACAGCCGTGGCGTTCTTGGCAGAATACACTCCGACCGCCAGCAACGTCAGCCCAGCCACCTGGAGCAAAGACAGCAGGGACGTGTCACCACTCCTCGAGGGGCCGCAGGAGCCGGGCCGCCACGCCGACCGAGCTCGGCCCAAGCCCGCAGCCCGCAGCGCTCAACCATCTGCAGGCGCGACCTCAGATCCTGGCCCCGCACCGGGGGAAGCCTGGACGGAGTTCCTGGCTCCTGGCTGCAGCCCGGCCCAGCCCCCGCGGCGGGCAGGCATCCGGGGAGTGGTCCAGGGCTGGAAGCGCTCTCCCACCCCTTCTGCCGTCCGAGTCCATCTTTAGGAAGCAACTGAACCGAACACCAGCGTCTGAGTGACTTTCTCTGCAGCTCGAGAGGGAGGCGCTCTGCGGCCAAGAGCCACTGGCAGCACAGCCGACCAACAACCACGAGGCACTCCGTGAGAACTGGGCAGCGGCCCAGCGGCTCCCCTGCACATGCACGGTGAGGGGGCGTGTGCAGGGCTCTCCCCTCACCGGCCAGGTGCAGCCTAGCCAGGGAGCCACACCCACTGCACAGAACACCTACTGCACGCTGGGCACCCTGCCAGCGCGGGGAGCCACAGAACCCTGGTTCCCAGAGGGTGTCTGGTCCCCAAGGCCCAGGGGTCAGAGGCCACCTCCTGCCCCCACCTCTGGCAACACCTACCCACCTCCTCTCTCCCAAGCACAGAACCTCACAAGGAAGGCGGTCTGAGCAGCAGCAGCGCCCCCTGCTGGAAACTGAGCCCATTACACACTGGCCATGGTGAGAACTGGTCTCCAGCCCAAGGGCAGGGGGAGGGGGGGTTGTCCCAGGAGGTTAGGACGCGCTGGTGTGCTGTGACTGGCTCAGGGGGGCAGGGTGTCACCAGCAAGGCCACTCCAAGCCAGGGTGCCAGCTTTGGAAAGCAGCGAGGTTAACTGTTCCAGGAACAGGGCCCCTTTCTTTGGAACTCATCTAGGAGGCGGATCCCATTCACTGGTTCACTCCCAGTGCTCACAGCACCCGGGAGCCAAGAACTCAATGCAGGCCTCCCACGTGGGTGACAGGAACCCACAGCTCGAGCCTGCACGGAGGCCTCAGGGTCTGCGACAGGACACCGGGGGCTAGGGGCCGGGGGATTTAACCACTCAGCTCCCTGCTGGGCCCCTCTGTGTGCAGCCAGGGGCACTGGCCAGGACACGGTGCCCCTCACGGCATAAGGCTGACATCACAAGCTGTCCAGCCTCAGCGCTGTTACACAAACAGGAGACGGACAAGCTAACACGGAGAGGTCCAAAATGCCCCCGGCCCAGAGGCTGGGTCCCATCTGGCTGCGTGCGCCTCCCCCCGCTGAGGAACCACGGCCGCGTGGGTCAGGCAGAGCAGGCCGTGCCCCACCAGCATCCAGTGTGCCTGCACCTGGAGCCTTGCGTGGGCCCTGGAGACGGGACTGGCCCACGGGGGCTCCCATGCAGACCGTGGCGCTCACCGTGGCTGTCACCTTGTCCCAGTCTGTCACAAAGGCACGGAAGCCTTCACCGAAGAGGGCGCCAGCTGTTCTGCAGAGCAAAGCAGTCAGGTGACTGGGGGGACTCGGGGACCCCAGCAGGGGCTGCTGGACCAGACCAAGACCCTGCCACAGCCTCCCACGCTGAGGTCAGCAGGAGGCCAGCACAGGACAGCCCTGCTGAGACAGCGGCAGCAGAAGGGGTCTGAAGGCCCCCCAGGACGGCCGCTTCACACTGGCGAGGCTACACCTGCCAACCTCGGGCACGGGGAGGCGGGGGGCTGGGCCCGGCTCGCCCACCTGATGGACTCCAGGCACGGGGAGGCTGGGGGCCGGGCCCGGCTCGCCCACCTGATGGACTGCAGGCACGGGGAGGCGGGGGGCCGGGCCCGGCTCGCCCACCTGATGGATTCCAGGCACGGGGAGGCGGGGGGCCGGGTCCGGCTCGCCCACCTGATGGATTCCAGGCACGGGGAGGCGGGGGGCCGGGCCCGGCTCGCCCACCTGATGGACTCCAGGCACGGGGAGGCGGGGGGCCGGGCCCGGCTCGCCCACCTGATGGACTCCAGGCACGGGGAGGCGGGGGGCCGGGCCCGGCTCGCCCACCTGATGGACTCCAGGCACGGGGAGGCGGGGGGCCGGGCCCGGCTCGCCCACCTGATGGACTCCAGGATGGTCTGGCGGTGCTCGGCGGCCTTCAGCCGGATCTGCTCCCGGATGATGTCTGCGTTCTCCCGCTCGGCCTTGGCCCTGGCCCTGGCTTCCGCCTCCACCCGCAGCATCTCGTTCTTATGACGCAGCTCCATCTCCCGCTCCACGGTGGCTGTCCGGGAGAAGGCAGAGCGGTGCTTGGCCGAGGGCCACAGCTGCTTCCGCTCACGCTGCAGGTGTGCACACAGGCCCTCGGACAGGCTCAGGGCCACGGCAGCAGGCCACGTCCCTGGCCAGCCCTTCAGCAGTCACAGCGGTCCTGACACCAGGCCCCGGACCCAAGCAACCCTCCTCGGGACAATGGGTTTGAAGACAGAAAACAACGTGGGAAACTACAAACGGGATCCACGCATATTGAAATGTAGCCTTCAAAACAGCAGAAAACGCACGCGGCACGACATCCGTGTCCTCCCCATGGCGCTGACGTCATGGAAACTGAGCCACAGGACTCTAAACACACATGACCACTCCCACCCACGCTCAGCAGCCCCAGGACTCCCTGCAGAGACCCGGGGGGCCAGGCCCAGAGAAAGGCCGAGTGGCCGCAGACTGAGACGCCGGATGCAGAACACCAGGCCCTCGGGTGCTGCTTCCATGTGTCCTGGGGACGGAGGTGCCCAAAGCAGCCCCGCCCCACCGGCAGGCCCCGCGCCCCGTGCCCCACCTCGCCGCATGGCCTCCTGCTTCTGCACGGACTCCTCCTGTTTCCGTAAATTCTCCTCATTAAGAAGTTGCTGCGAGGAAGCCAGAGAAAGGCCTTTCACAGTCAGAACGACACGCGTCCGAGGGGCTGCGGCTGCAGCGGGCTGGGCACCCGCCCACCCACCCCCGCTGCCCACAGCCTGTGGGGAACGGGCTGGGGCCACGCAGGGGCCCTCCCGGTGCGATTCTCACAGGAGACCGCCTTGTTCTTAGTGGACTCAAAGCTGGAATGCCCAAAACTGCCAACAATCCCTACAAAAGCCTCCTGCAGACTGGAGACGGACGAGCGGCGTCCCCGGGAGACCCACCAGGCTTCTCCCAGCCCTGGGACCCTGCCCTCAGCCAGTCACAGCCGTGCGCCCCGCGGGCGTCCTCACCTGGCCAGGGCCCTCAGGCAGGGGCAGGTGCTCAGCACGGGGGTCAGACACTGGGGGCACCTGCACCCCGCACCGGAGCGAGGGCCTGGGACGGAGTCCAGGCTGCACTCCCCACTCCAGCGTCCTGCCAGCAGGCACCCTGGGGGCTGCAGGTGACGGCTCGGACTCGGGCCCCTGACGCCCACGTGGATCCAGGCTGAGTGCTGGACCCTGGCTGTGGCCTGACCCGGCCGTGGCTGCTCTGGCACTCGGGAACACACAGGCAGGGCATGTGGGAAATTTCTGTTCTCTTCCTCTCTGCCTCTCAAATAAGCAAAAGTAAATTTAAAAAATTTGGAGTCCTCAGAAAAACTGGAATATCTTCTGTGTGGAGCCCACAGAGAAGGCACTGAGCGCCAGCTCCTGTGCCCACGCGCGTCCTCGCCCTCCTGCGAGCTGCGGCCGTGCAGACCCCCCAGGGGTAGCACAGGCCTGCGGCCCCCGGAGGACGTGGCCTCTCACCTGCTGCTTCAGCTGGTCCTCATGGCGCTGCCGGGCCAGCCTGTCCTGGTACTGGGCTCTCTAGGGGAAGAGGGGGTGACAGCACAGCTTAACCGGAGCAGCTGCTGCACAGGCCCTGCCCGGGCCATCCTCTCCCACAGTTGCCGACAGCCGCCGTCTGGACCCCGAGCCGGGCGCTGCACTGGCTCAGCCTGCAGGGACCCACGCCTCGGGGGTTTGCCCAGGGCCGCCAGGCTCACTCCTGCCCCTCACCGCCTGGTGCTGCCGGGTCTCCTCGCTCAGGGTCTTCCTCCTCTCCTCAGCCTGCACACGGATCTGCTCACTCTTCAGCTGCTCCACGGCGGCCTCGTACTCCTGCAGAACACGCGGCTCAGGGCTGCCGCCTGGGGCTCATCGGCCACGTGCTACACCAGCTGACCTGGGCAGTGCCGGGGTGCCCCCCGCTCCAAAGTCAGCCGTCACATCGGAGCCTAGGCCCAGGAGGAAGCCTGACCCCAGGGCCAGGAGACCAGGCCCAGGGCACTCTGGTTTTGAGGGGCATCTGTCAGCCCTGCTCCAAGGCTGGGACTCAAGCTATCTACGTTCACAAGAGCCAAGGGCCAAGGGCAGAGCCCGTGCTCCGAGTACAGAGGAACCAGAGAAGAGGGGCAGCCCCCCCACCAAGACCTGCCACCCCTCACCCGCAGGCCTCTGCTGCACCGCATGACAGTGCCACACAGCGCTGGAGACCCAGGGGACGGCTGTCTTCGCCTCCCCTGCCACGTGTGTGGAGGCCGGAACCCACCCACGGCACCTCCCGCAGCCACGGCACCTCCCGCAGCCACGGCACCCCCCGCAGCCACGGCACCCCCCGCAGCCACGGCACCTCCCGCAGCCACGGCACCTCCCGCACCCACGGCACCCCCCGCACCCACGGAACCCCCCGCAGCCACGGCACCTCCCGCAGCCACGGCACCCCCGCAGCCACGGCACCTCCCGCACCCACGGCACCTCCCGCACCCACGGCACCTCCCGCACCCACGGCACCTCCCGCAGCCACGGCACCTCCCGCAGCCACGACTCGCCTTGAGCTTGGACTGCTGCTCCAGCTGCAGCGTCTGCTCCTGCATCTGGGCGAGACTCAGCGCCTCCTTGGCGTGGCCTGCGGGGGACAGAGCATTAGGAAGCCCGGACAAGCAGCCAAGCAGGCCTGCGGTCGGGGGCCCTGAGCCCCCGCCACTGCCACCCTCACTCCTGCTCACATCGTGCCTGTCACCTCTGCCTCCAGAGGCTGCCGCCCCGACCCCGACTGAGAGCCTGGTGCCACACATGGTCCTAGCCCAGGTAACTGCCAAAGACCACCCAAGCTCACTGAGGGCCGAAAGCCAGGCCAACACCCGGGAGCTCCCCAGTTACAGGCTAGGGCCGTGGCCGTGCCGCCTGTCTGCTCGGCTCAGACACCGACGCCTGCGGCTCCGCGACCAAGGCTGAGGCAGAAGGAACGAGAAGCAGGCGCCAGCAGCACGGCCCACTCGGGCTGGCGCCTCTGCCCCGGCCGGCGCTGGGCGTTCTGGAAGTCAGCTCCGCGGCTCCCTGACAGCGCTCCCCCAGAACCCAGAGGCGGGGCTGGGCACAGCGACAAGACGGCACTCGGGGATCTGAGTCCCAGCTGCACAGCTGACGCAGCCCCGGGGGCAGCAGTGAGCGCTCCAGCTGCCGGGCCCGATCCCCCAGCACAGGAGACCTGGGTCCAGTCCCCGTCTCTCCAAACTTGGGCCCCAGCCCAGGGGTAAACCAACAGATGGAAGCACGCTCTCTCGCTCATCAAAAAATTTTAAGTGGATATCTTAATGTAATTTTTTAAAAGAATTTATTTATTGGGGCCAGTACCGTGGCTCACATGGCTAATCCTTCACCTGCGCCGGCATCCCACATGGGCACCGGGTTCTGGTCCCGGCTGCTCCTCTTCCAATCCAGCTCTCTGCTGTGGCCCAGGAGTGCAGTGGAGGGTGGCTCGAGTGCTTGGGCCCTGCACCCCATGGGAGACCAGGAAGAAACACCTGGCTCCTGGCTTCAGATCCGTGCAGCGCCGACTGTGGCGGCCATTTGGGGAGTGAACCAATGGAAGGAAGACCATTCTCACTGTCTCTCTCTCACTGTCTGTAACTACCTGTCTAATAAAAATAATTATTTATTTATCTGAAAGAGTTATAGACAGAGATAGAGCCAGAGAGTGAGCGAGAGAGAAGTCTTCCATCCACTGGTTCACTCCCATAATGGCTGCAACAGCCAGAACTGGGCTGATCCAAAGCCAGGAGCTGCCTGGAGCTTCCTCTGGGTCTCCCATGCAGGTGCAGGGGCCCAAGCACTTGGGCCATCTTCCACTGCTTTCCCAGGCCATAGCAGGGAGCTGGATCAGAAGTAGAGCAGCTGGGACTCAAACTGGCGTCCATATGGGATGCCGGCACTGCAGGAGGCAGCTTTACCCGCTATGCCACAGTGCCGATCCCTCTCAATGTAATCTTAAGTGTATATCTTTTTTTAAAAAAAAGATTTATTTATTTTACTTAATTAAAAGGAGACTTAGAGGCAGAGGCAGAGACAGAGAGAGGTCTCTCATCCACTGGTTCACTCCTCAAATGGCTGCAACAGCTGGAGCTGCGCCAAACCAAAGCCATGAGCCATGAGCCATGAGCTTCTTCCGGGTCTCCCAGCCGGGTGCAAGGACCCAAGGACTTGGGACGTCCTCCGCTGTTTTCCCAGGCCACAGCAGGGAGCTGGATCAGAAGTGGAGCAGCCGGGCCGGCGCCGCGGCTCACTAGGCTAATCCTCCGCCTAGCGGCGCCGGCACACCGGGTTCTAGTCCCGGTCGGGGCGCCGGATTCTGTCCCGGTTGCCCCTCTTCCAGGCCAGCCCTCTGCTGTGGCCAGGGAGTGCAGTGGAGGATGGCCCAGGTGCTTGGGCCCTGCACCCCATGGGAGATCAGGAAAAGCACCTGGCTCCTGGCTCCTGCCATCGGATCAGCGCGGTGCGCCGGCCGCAGCGCGCCGGCCGCGGCGGCCATTGGAGGGTGAACCAACGGCAAAGGAAGACCTTTCTCTCTGTCTCTCTCTCTCACTGTCCACTCTGCCTGTCAAAAAAAATAAATAAATAAATAAATTAAAAAAAAAGAAGTGGAGCAGCCGGGACTGGAACCAGCGCCCACATGGGATGCCAGCACTGCAGGTGGTGGCTTTACCCATTATGCCACAGCACTGGGACCTCAATAAAATTTTTAAAAAAGCCTTCCAACACACAAAAACATGGGCAGGTGGGAACACCTGGGAGCCACACCCAGTGCTGGAATGCGTCTGATTTGTTCCTCTCACCTGTCTCTGTATTCCCCTTCTTGCTTTTATTTAGTTCAGGCAGAAATGAACAGAGAACAAGGAAGTCCCCATCGGTTGGTTCAGTCCACAAATGCCAGGACCGGGCCAGGCTGGAGCCAGAAACTCAGGGCTCCTCAAAGAGGCCCCAGCAGGAAGTGGGCGCAGGGCCGGGACTCAACCTCAGGTGCAGGCGCCTAGCAGTGGCTTAGCCAAGCGGCAAGCGTCAGCCCCGGCCGCCTCTGAGGCTGCAGAAACACTGACGCACACACAGTGAACTCAGGCCCAGCGCTGGACAGCCTGGAGCCGCGCGTGCTCAGACAGACGCCCTGACCGTGGATGGGTCTGCAGGCCGGGTCCTGTCCCAGAGGGCCTTCTGAGCTGAGAGGCGGCAGGGAAGGCCCGGCCTCGCCTCCCTCCACCACGAGGTCAAGGGCCGCGCGGACCGCGGGAGCCTCCACGGCTGGGCCAGAGGCAGCAGCGAGGACAGAGGAGGCAGCCAGTGTGCGGGCAGGGGCCACTGAGCCACACTTCCCACGCCCGGGAGCTCAGAGCGGGAGGCTCGGGGACCGGGGCGTCCAGAGGCCTGGCATGGGGGCTCTCGGGTAGCCAGGCACGGGGCATCGCAGGAAGCAGACTTTGGGGACGGGAAGACAGGGACAAAAGGATGGCACGTCCACTCCTGGGACAGAATCCAGACACCGCGCATGGGGCAGGGCCTGGTCTCCTGGCTACAGCCGTCCGGGGAGCTCTGCCAGACCCTGCCTGGTGGGACCTGAGGGGCTGGCCCTGGGGCACGGCTGGCTCAGGATTCTGGGGCGACCAGTGCAGGAGCCTGGGGAGCGCAGGGAGGGGGGGAGCCCCAGGGCTGAGAAGTGCGAGGGGGCGGGCAGGGGTGGGTGAACCCCAGGGCCCTACACTCTGCGAGGCGCCCGGGAGGGGGAGCCCAGCCAGGCCCCCCAAGCCTGCGGCCAGGCCAGCAGCTCCTGCCCGCACCCGCCTCCCACCCGCCTTTCCTCCGGGAGAGGAGCCGCTGCTGTTGCCATCAGCAGGCGGCGCCAGCTGTGAAACATTGAAACACAGCGGCGATACAATGAACTCTCCGCACCAGCGGATGGGGTCCTGAAGGCCATCAGGCAGGGCCAGCTCCCTCTGCCTGAGGGTCTTCAGGCCCTGCTCACGGCGGTCTCCCTAAAAGCCGACGGCCCTCAGGCTGGTGTGTGGCCGGCGGGTGACGCTGGACAACATCCCACATCGCGTTGCCGGCTGAGTCCCGGCTGTGCCGCTTCTGACCCAACTCCCTGCTAACGCGCCTGGGGAGCGGGGGAGGACGCCCCAGGCAATCGGCCCCCTGCGCCCACGTGGGAGACCCGACGGCGTCCCTGGCCTTGCACAGCCAACCAGCAAAGTCTCTTTCCGTCTCTCCCTGCCGCTCTGCCTCTCGAATAAAATAAGTTAAAAAATAATAATTACAGCGACCCTCATACACGCTTCCTCTTTAAGTGAAACGCGTGCCAAGCAGCTCCGGGGCGCACCCCCGGATCCGGCCACGCGTAGGCCCTGGGCGACCTCGGACACCGGGGCCCGGCCCTGCACCTGCCACCTGGGTCTCTGCAGGCGCCTCTGCCCCGGGTTGCTCACCTGAGGCGCGCGAAGGGGACAGGCAGGCTGCGAACCTCCGGGCACAAGAGACGGCAGCGGCCCGGCGCACTCCCGGGGCCGGCTCCTCCCGCGAGACGCGGGGCTGCGGCCGCCACTGCCCGCTCGGCTGCCAAGACGGGAAAGCGGTCAGACGCCGGCGCCCCGCGGGGGAGCCTCCCGCGACCCGGGCCCGCACCCGGCCCCGCCCCGCCGCACTCACGCGAGCGCTCCAGCTCGCGCGCCGCCTTGGCCGCGCGCTCCAGGCCCGTGGGGTCGAAGTTGCTCCATTTGTCCTTGGGCGCCGGCCGGTCTCCCGCGCCGCGGTCCCCACCGCCCTCGGCCCCGGGCTGCACCGGCAGCGGCGGTCCCACGCCTTCGCCCTTGGGGCCCTTGTTGATGCCGAAGAGCCACGACATGACCCCGCCGACCCCGCGCGCCGCCGCAGCCGCCGGGACCCCGCGCCGAGCGCGACTACAGCCAGGCGCGGCGGTGCCTCCACACGCGTGAGCCGGCGGCCGATGCCACTGCGCACGCGCGACGCACACCCCTTCCCACCGGGCGGAGGCAGCGCGTGACGGCAGTGCAGCGCGCCGCCCTCGGATTGGCCGTGAGCGTCGTGACGCTATCGGCCGCGACGGCCGGAGTGGCTCGGGAGCAGGCGGGCGGGGGCGGCGGGGCGAGACGCTTGGTGACGGAAGCCACGCAGGGACAAACTTGCTGGGCGGACGTGTGCGCGCCGCAGGCAGCGTTTGTTCGGCTGGTGTCCGGTTGCTACGCGCGCTGCGGGGTCCATACCGCGTCTGCAGCGTGGAAGGTGCGAGGGTGGCCGAGAGCTTGGCGGCGCCGTTTGGAGTCCCTTACGAAGGGAGCGGCCGCGGGAGAAACTCTCCCGGGACGGCGGCCGGCGCGGAGACACTCGGGGCCACGGCGACCCGGGGCCGGGGCCGTGCGGTGGGCCCTGCGCACACGACAGGGGCTTCGGCCGGCGGAGCGATCGCGATCGGAGGCAAGTGTGAGCTTTGCTGGGAGCAGGCCGAGCCCCGCATGCTGAGAACCCCCTTGTCACCCGTCCCCCGGGCCCTCCGCACTTGGCCAGGCGTCCCCCGCCGGGTCCGGGCTGCCGGGGCGGTGGCCGAGCCCGCAGCCCCCCGCCCCCGGCCCACCGCAGCTCGGCCGGCGCCCGCAGGCCAACGCCGAGCAAGGTTCTGATTTCTGTGAACGCGCATCGGAACGGCCTCATTTAACCTGACTCCATTTTGGAAAATGTCTAAAGATTTAGGTTGATTAACTGCATTTTTGAGAAATCCGGAGTCAGCCCCGCTGGGAGCCCTTCCCTAAGAGCCAAGCGGGGCGACACCGGGGTCCCAAAGGAGCCCTAGTTTGCGTCCCGGCCGCCCCAGCTCCCCGCTGGTGCGCCTGGAAGATCAGCAAAGACGACCACCCACCCACGTGGGAGACCCCAAGAAGCTCCTGACTCCAGGCCCAGCCTCCGCTCCACAGTCGGCTGGGGAGTGAACCAGCGGACATGTCTCTCCCCCTCACCCCCTTCTGTAACTCTGCCTTTCAAATAAATCTTTAAAAAAAAAAAAAAAAAGAGTAAAAGGACCACGAGGTGGGCTCTGCTGGAGCACGTGGCTGAGCTGTGGGTGCCGGAGCCCTGCCCAGCATGGAGGCCCGGGGAGAGCCCACAGAAGTTAGGGCTGCACTGAGCTCTGAACCAGGGACCCAGCCACCTCCTGGAGTCCCAGAACAGGCCCCACAGCGTGCGTGTGCACGTGTGTGCACACGTGTGCCCATGCAGCAGTGGACAGAGCCCTCTGCTCCCAGAATCCCAGCAGCCACTGTGGTTCCCGAGTCCCGGGGAGCAGTGCGGCACAGCAGGGCCTGGCCCGAGCTGCATGTCCTGCCCAGTGACTGCTAGAGGCCAACCTCGTGTGGTCAGCCCGGGGCCATCACTTGGCTGCTTGTCCTACAGCGGCCTCAGCAGGGGACACCTCCTACTCCCCCTCACCCTTCGCGGTACACCTGCAGGCTGCCTCCTCCTGAGCCCCTCCCCCCTCCCGGTACACCTGCAGGCTGCCTCCTCCTGAGCCCCTCCCCCTTCCTGGTGCACCTGCAGGCTGCCTCCTCCTGAGCCCCTCCCCCCACACTGAGCAAACCCCAGGGCGGGTTCCCAGGCTGAGGCTCCACAGGCTTCTCAACCCGCCCAGGCGTGTGGTGAAAGAGCTGTTAGAAGTAGTGGGGCTGTGACCAGGGCAAGAGGGCCCTGGGACACCCCTCAGGGCCCCCGTAGCCTGTGTGTGTGCAGGGAGCACTGGCCCCCAGGGCCCCATAGCTGTGTGTGTGCGGGGAGCACTGGTCCCCAGGGCCCCGTATCCTGTGTGTGTTTAGTGAACACTGGCCCAGGGCCCCGTAGCCTGTGTGCAGGGAGCACTGACCCCCAGGGTCCCATGGCCTGTGTGTGTGCAGGGAGCACTGGTCCCCAGGGCCCCGTAGCCTGTGTGTGTGCAGGGAGCACTGGCCCCCAGGGTCCTATGGCCTGTGTGTGTGCAGGGAGCACTGGTCCCCAGGGCCCCGTAGCCTGTGTGTGTGCAGGGAGCACTGGCCCAGGGCCTCGTAGCCTGTGTGTGTGCAGGGAGCACTGGCCCCCAGGGTCCTATGGCCTGTGTGTGTGCAGGGAGCACTGGTCCCCAGGGCCCCGTAGCCTGTGTGTGTGCAGGGAGCACTGGCCCAGGGCCTCGTAGCCTGTGTGTGTGCAGGGAGCACTGGCCCAGGGCCCGTAGCCTGTGTGTGTGCAGTGAACACTGGCCCAGGGCCCCGTAGCCTGTGTGTGTGCAGGGAGCACTGGCCCCCAGGGTCCCATGGCCTGTGTGTGTGCAGGGAGCACTGACCCCCAGGGTCCCATGGCCTGTGTGTGTGCAGGGAGCACTGGCCCTGCCCCCGACAAGCCTTGACCTGGCTGGACCTGCAGACTCAGCGCACACAGGGCAGCAGAGCCAGCACCACCCCCAGCAGGGGCCCTCCACACCCACGGGGCTCGCAGGGGTCGTGGTGCTGTGCCGGCGCCTGCTGCCCGGGGAAGTCCCGCCCTCCTGGGAGAAAGGCATGGTCAGCAGTGTGATCTGGGAGCACGTGCTCAATCCAGGCCTCCTCGGTGTCCAGGGTGGGCTGCAACCCCAGCCCTGGAGGGCTCCTGTGGGGTGTGGCGGGACTGGGAGTGACAGTGGGAGTCGGGGGTGCCGGCTTCAGCCATGGGGTAAGTAGAGGTCACGGTTCTCGCCCTCCCTGGACCGTGCCGTGCCACCAGTTCCCTCCTGGGGCAGGTTCCAGGGGGCCACAGCCATCGAGGCTCTGCCCACACCTGTCCCTGTGCCCGGGGAGCACAAGGCACTTCTTATTCCCTGGAGAGCTCCGGAGTCTGGCACAGAGGCCACGCGTTGTCACAGTGAGTCCACTGCCACGGGCAGTCAGTGGACACGAGAAGTCCTCCACCGGTGCCCCTCCTATAGGGCTGAGTCCCTCTCCCATCCGGGACCCCCACCTCCGGGCGTATCGGGAAGCAGAAGTGGGTTTGCTCACTGTCCCTTCCCCCAGCCCCCTCCTGTGGGCCACACTCCTGGGTATCGGGCACTCGTTACTGTCCCTGTGCAAACCTGCCTGCACTGCACCCAGCGGCTCTGGCCTCGGAGGCCGCTCCTGGACACCTCGCGTCCACGTCCCAGGGAGCTGGGGTGCAGACCCAGGACCCCATACGCCCACTGGGGCTGGAGAGCCGCCCTTCCCGCTGGTGGGTGAGTGTGGGGCCCCAAGGGCAGGACAAGGCAGCAGCCTCCTCTTGTGGACTCCCAGGGCCAGGATCCCCAGGGCACTGCCCACCTGGCCTGCACACACAGGGACGCACAGTGGCCAGCCCTCCTGTCTGGGCTGGCAAGGTGTGGTGTGTGAGCCCAAGTGTCACTCTGCCCAGTGTTGGGGACAGGGGCTGTGGCGTGAGGGGGGTCACGGGGAGACCCCGACCCGCCTGCACCCCAGGACCTGTGCTGCTCAGCCCTCAGCCAGACAACCCCCTCCCAGGCAGAGACACGTGGACGGCTGGCCCGGCCACGGCATCCAGGAAGAGGGGAAGCCGGGGCCTCTGCTTGGGGGGAGGGCGGCAGGCGTTTGTCCGTTCCAGCCCACTCCACCCCGGCCTGGGCCCAGGGAGCCCCTTCAGCGGTCAGGATGGGAGTCCCGCTGGGCACTCAGGTAGCCAGCCCCGTTCCCAGCAAAAGAACCTCTCCTCTCCAGGCCCTTCTCAGATCAGTGACCGCCCAGTGGGGCAGGCTGGCGCCCTCTGCAAGCCCCAGGCCTGTGGCCCCAGCCAGGGGCCTTGAGCCCCCCAGCCACCTGCTGAGAGCGTGGGCACACAGCCCAGCTCCTGGGGTTGGGGGAGCATGGAGAGGAAACTCAAATTCTCCCCCCAGCAGTGGCCCCCACTCCGCTCAGTCTCCAGCCGTGGTCACCCATCAACAAATACTTGGGCTGCATTGACAGCAGTGGCCACAAAGGCTGGGAGGGCACCATGGGACCACACAGGCTGAGGGGGGGCACTGTGTGGCCCCGAGGCCCCCTGGACCACGCAGGCTGGGGGGGCGCCGTGTGGCCCCGAGGCCCCCTGGACCGCGCAGGCTGGGGGGGGGCGCCGTGTGGTCCCGAGGCCCCCTGGACCACGCAGGCTGGGGGGGGGTGCCGTGTGGCCCCGAGGCCCCCTGGACCACGCAGGCTGAGGGGGGGCGCCGTGTGGCCCCGAGGCCCCCTGAACCACGCAGGCTGGGGGGGCGCCGTGTGGCCCTGAGACCCCCTGGACCACGCAGGCTGGGGGGGGCGCCGTGTGGCCCCGAGGCCCCCTGGACCACGCAGGCTGGGGGGGTGCCGTGTGGCCCTGAGACCCCTGGACCGTGCAGGCTGAGGGGGGGCACCGTGTGGCCCCGAGGCTGTCCTGGGTCAGGAGGCTGGCCACAGACAAGCGCTGCCTCCCAGACAGCAGAGCCGGGCTCCCAGGAGGGCACAGCCCCCCCGTGCACACACCACCCCCTGCACTAGATCTGGTCCAGACCGGCCGGAGAGCAGGAAGGAGAACGAGGAGACCACGTGTCTGGCTGTATTTGAAGGTCTGGGTGTTAGTGGGGGAGGCAGGGTGAGCACGGAGTGGTCACGGGTGGTCCTGGCACAGTGAGGCCAAGTCGACACGGCCACAGGGCCAGGTTCTCGGCCCCTGCAGGTCACGGGGGGTGGGGGGGGGGACAGGGGGTCTCCCTGCCAGCACAGACTTCTGAGCACAGCAGGGACAAACGGGCCCCAACTCCCCAGCAGGCACTGCCCTTCCAGCTGCTGGGGCACCCTGGTGACCACCCCTCTGCAGGCCGTGGCGGGGGTGAGCCTCTCCTCCCCCCACCCACTTTCCATCATCACCCAGGACCCCAGTGGTCAGACCAAGCTCCCTGCAACCCAGGCTGGCTCCTCACACCGCGCGAAGTGCAGGGTCTGGTCGTGGGCTC